CTGCTTCTCCCTCTCCCACTCCCCCTGCTTGTGTTCCCTCTCTCACTGTGTCTCTCTCTGTCAAATAAATAAAATCTTAAAAAAATAAAAAAATAAAATAAAATACAATGCAGAATCCTGGGCCCCATACCCCAGAGATTCTGAGTCCCAAGGTCCAAGGTGGAATGGGTGGCTCAGGATTCTGAGTTTTTAAAAAGCACGTAGGTGATCCTAAGGTCTCTGATGAAGTGGAATTAGGGAGTCTAAAAGCTATATGGTCCTAGATTCAAATCCCACCCCTGTCACTTATTTGCACTATGACTTGGGGCAAGTCACCAAGCCTTTCTAGATGTCAATTTTGTTTGTAAAATGAGGTTATAATACACCTTCTGCTTAATAAAGAAGACCTATTTTTTCAGTGTTTATTGCCCGTTGTAAAGATTTGTTGAGCAAATGGGGTAGAAGTTCATTGCCCTCCAGAAACCTGAGGAGGGGGGGGTGTTCCTCCTTCATGGCTCCATCCACCACATATCTCTCAACTACTCAGTCACAAAACTCATGAATTCTACCTCCTAAAACATCTTAGACCTGCCCACTTTTCTCCATCCCCACAGTCTCTACCCTAGTCCAAGCCACCACCTTCCTCTACCTGACCACTGCACAGCTTCCTCTCCATCTCCCTATTTCTACCCTTACTTCCCAGGGCAGCCATGCTAATCGGATAAGGCAAAGCTTTTGGTTCAAGCTTCAGCTCTCAGGAAGGCCTTATGAGTCTAAAAACAATTCCTCTTGGCCCCCTACACCTACTTCTAAGCCTCCTTTCTGCCTCTATCTAACTCTACACTCAAGATATTCTGAACTTCGTTCAGATTCTTCTAGTGAATATCAGTTTCTCTTGCCACTGGGACTTCACACAAAATGTGTTTGCTGTGTCCGACACAGCCACCCCACCCAACCCCGTCTCCAAACACATATCTTTCACCTACTACTCATCTTTCATATTTCAGCTGAAATGTCATTTACTCAGGGCCAGATGTAGCTATTCCCCTCACATGTGCTCTGGCAACTCTGTCTTTCCTCCATGATAATACCTATTATGCTCTGCCATGATGACTTCATGCCTGCCTCCATCACTAAACTAGCTCCAAGAGAACGCAGGCCTCTGTCTATTGCCGTAGCACCGGCAGCAATAGAGTCTATGCTCAAAGAACGGCTGAATGAGTGAATGAATGAATAAATAAAAGAGCAGAAGGCCCTGGTCGCAGGATGTGTTGCGGATGGGCGCCCCCTTGATAGTGCCTAAACTCAGTTCAGGGTCTGGAGGTGCCGGGAGAAAAGACAGCCACGTGGGGGCGTCCCTGGGCGCGTGTAGACCACTGGGGGGCGCCCTCAGCTTGTTGTATGTGACTGGCATCACTTCACACTCAGGTTCGGTTACTAGTGGCCAATTGGAAACAGGAGGCGGGGTTTACGTTTGATTGACAGTATCGCTCCGCCCAATCTAATTCATCTTTTCCTTGGCCCCGCCCACTCCAGGCTCCGGAGACCCTGAAGGTGGGCCTGATGGAGGCGCCGCCAACTGGACTCCAGCAGAGAGCTCCCGAGGCCGAACCAGTGCGCCTGGCGGTCTGTGAGTGGGCGGCCCGCGGCTAGGGGCGGGGCCACGGCGCTGACAGGCAGGAGGCCGGTCCCTCCCCTCTCGCCCAGAACGGCAGCGCCGGCGCTGGGGACAGCAGAAGTGAGTAGGTGAGCGGCGCAGCAAGATCCCTGCTCGGACCCCGGACGGCGCGCGCACCCGGAGCCCCGGATCCGAGTCGGGCCCGCGGCAGACCGCCAGATAACTGTGCCCCCGAACTACCACCACTTGCACCCTTCCGCTCCGGCCCGCCTCCCGGAGCTCTCGGCTCCGAGCTCTCCAGCGCCCGGGATCCTCCTGGACCGGTCCGTCCAGATTCCCGCGGGTCCGACCTGCCTGCATCCCCCAGCATCGCCAGGCTCGGGCCGCCGCCTCGGTCCCGGAGCCGCCCGCCTGGATCGCACCCTTTCCTTGCCCGGATCTCCTGGGACCGTACGCGAACGTTCCTCGGAGCCCGAGGAGCGGACCCTTCCCCGGGTGCCCGCAGCGCCGCCGGCGCGGCCCGGC